CCTCCATCAGCCTGCATAAGCTCCATGAGGTCAGGGACTTGATGTATCTTGTCTCATGGCGTATCCCCAGTGATTGAGAGGCAAGACACTCTCAGTAAGTATCGACTGAATGGTAATTGAATGAGTGAGTGACAGCGAAGGGAGAAAAAAACAATATGGAAGTCAGAACCTCCCACCCTGCAACACACAATACAATACTAGAAACACATTGTTATTATTGTTATTTTTTAATGTTTTTATTTTATTTTTGAGAGAGAGAATGTGATTGAGGGAGGGACAAAGAGAGAGGGAGACACAGAATCTGAAGCAGGTTCCGGGCTCTGAGCTGTCAGCACAGAGCCCGACGTGGAGCTCAACCCCAAGAACTGTGAGATCATGACCTGTGCTGAAGTCAGCTGCTCAAGTGGCTGAGCCACCCAGGCCCCCATAGAAACACACTGTTGATAAGAGAAGGATCAAAGTCTACTGAAAGACATGATGGCTGAGAGTCAGAATTGGGGGCCTGGTTTCTATACTCATTTCTGTCGCTTCCTATTTGTGAGACTGCACCTGAAATCAGACTTCTGAGAGTAGCTACCATTCCTTCTCTGACTTCACAACCTTGGATTCGAACGCCTCATTTATAAAATAGGGTAGCATGCTCTGTCCTGTTTAACTCTCATATTTGGGGAAACACATTGAAACTTTACATGTTATTATGCAGGTGAAGCACTACATAAATATAAAAATTTTAATCCATATAATTAGCGTGGAGTTATTGGTGTCTAAATTTTATATCTAATAAATGGCTTTGGTTTTTTATGTGTATTTACTGCAAAATATTATTTTCTGTTGCCATTGGTCAGAAGCGCATCTGCGCGCGCGCGCGCACACACACACACACACACACACACACACACACATATACAGAGACCAGCGATAAAGCTATATCCTTTTATTACCAGGGTGAATATGAGATATGCTGAGTCTGTGTCAAACATACTAGTGAAAACACATGCCCTTTTCATTTACTCAAAGGCACTAATGGCTTTAATAAAAGCAGAACATATCACTTAAGAGGAATAGATAATTAGCCTTGACAAGAAGTGAGATCAGAATTCTTATGAATGAATTAGCTAATTCCCACTATGGACATCGAGTCTTTGGGTTTTCATTTGACATCCTAGTGAGAATCCAGTAACAGCTGGAGGCGGTGGAAAGCCTGAAGTCAGTGGGGTTGTCTGGGAAGGGCTGATGTTGTTATGTCCATAATGGTCTTAGACAAGACACAGTGGTGCCCGCAAAAAACGTGGATTAGAAAGAAAAGCCACGTTCATGTTTCTTGTGCTTGAGGCAAAGTGTATGGCTTGCTATAGAATGTTAAATCCCATGGAAGGCATCACAAGGAAAACATGCCGGGATATTTTGGTATGAGCGTATCTAGCATGTTTTAAATGCGAAAGCATTTATTGAGCACCTCCTGTGTTCTAGCAGTTATGTGGAAAAACCATTTATGTGGCAAGCGGGTGGGAGAAGGTGAATGGCGTGAGCAACGGAGCGGGCGTCGGGATGGACACGCTTGCTCCCAGAGTGAGCAAAGTAGCCAGACCAGAAGGGCCCACTGGCGAAAGGAAAGAAAAAAGAACAGCAACAACAAGCAAATGAACAAGAACATATGACTTTCTCATATGTGTATAGAACACTCTAGAGTGTAAAACAAAAATCCCCAAACCAAACCCAAACATGGCACATATACTCCTCTCGTCACCTTGGATCAGGAGACACAAGCCGCAGACACGTCAGGGAGGTGAGGGGTGTGGTTATTTCCCCCCAGAGAATACATGAGCTTGCCCAAGTTCACACAGCTGGAGGGTGGGGGGGCTGGTGGCCGCTCTCCCAGGGCACGTTCCTCCGGGTAGAGCTTCAATGGTAAGGATTTTGGTCTTTATTCTGTGAGGAAAAGCAGACAGGTACCTAGCTTAGCAAAAGGGGAAGAAAATAGAGTCTCCCTCAAACTGCTGACTGAGCATCTTGACACCGACCTTGAACAAAGCTCTAAGGAGCACTTTTTTATTATTTTATTAAAAATTTTTTTAAAATATTTATTTCTGAGCACGCGTGAGAGAGAGAGAGAGCATGAACAGGGGAAGGGGCAGAGAGAGAGGGAGATACAGAATCTGAAGCAGGCTCCAGGCTCTGAGCTGTCAGCACAGAGCCTAACGTGGGGCTCAAACCCATAAACCATGAGATCATGACCTGAGTTGAAGTGGGACGCTTAACTGACTAAGCCACCCAGACACCCCAAGGAGAGCTATTTAAAGGATGGTTTTTGAGTACTTGGAAGGACCCGTGCCAGTGCTTGTTCACCAAAAAGCCAGTTGGGCCAGAATAACTCATTTCTTTCTCGGGCAGGCACATCTAGTACCAAGAGTACTTTTGTAAGATGCTTGCTTCAGATACTCCTGTGGATAAAACGGACCATTGTGGAATGTGTGGTGGATTCATTTGCATTTAATTTTAAAGCTGAAGGAGATTTGGGAACTCATCTGGCCCTGTTCCGTCATTTTACAAATGAGTAAAAAGAAACAAGGGATAAAGGGACCTGCCTAAGTTACATTATCAGTCGTCAAAATAGCAGATACATATTGAGTGTTAATTATGTGCCCGGCATACTCTAAGTGATTAACACGCATGGACTTAGTAATCCTCATAACAAACCTACGTGGTCACCCAGGCGCAGGGAGATTCAGTAACTTGCCAATATTATGAGGCTGTGAGTGACAGAACAGAGATTTGTACCCAGCAAGGCTGAGCTGCTTCCTCTGCAGACACAGCCTCTCAACTAGTTGCTCTATGACTAGTGTTATCTGAGCAAAGGGTCGTGGAGCTAACAGACGTCCTGGTGGTGGGCTGTAAGATGTCCTTCCTATGTCCTTTCCAATATTTTTGTCCACGAGTTAGACAAAATGTAGAAACAGTTCATCAGATCTTCAGGAGTCATGAACCGGGGGTGGGGGTTAGGGAGGGAGACAAACCCACTGGACGGAAGAAGCAGGACCCGGGAGGATTCAGGGTGATGAATGAACCCAAATATTTTCATTGCAGGGGAATATAGAACAATATTGCCTGTGGATCCCCAAACCAGTCGCCCAAGAATAGGCTGGGGAATGTGTATAAGGGAGAATACAACTGGGTGGGGGGGGGGTCACTTGTTAAGTTTGTTCTATGTGGATTAATATGTGCGGCTGCCCGGAAGCCCATGCGGGTAGGCAAAGAGTCCACCTGTATCTACACTGCCCGTGTTTACGCTGGTTCTCAGCCGATGCCCTGAGTCCAGCACCCAGCCAAGGGAGCCCCAGGCGCACCAGCCTTCGGTGACAGCCTGCACCCATCTTCCTCTTTCCCGACCAACTTTTGCTCTGATCTTCATCTTGGCCTTTCTCCTCCCTCATCACCCAGGTGCCCTTCCCATCTCTGGGCCTTTATTCTTAAGGTTTTTTTTTTTTTTTCTTTCCTGGGTTCTCTTAGCATTTGAATCTTGATTTTTTTTTTACCTTGGGGCCTTGAATTGGCTCGGGTCTCTGTGCCATGTGGCATCCGGGGCAAACCCCTCACCCGGTCTCAGCCCCTCAGAGCCCAGCCCAAGCCCCGGCTGGGTGCCTTCCGACAGCACCTCCGCTGCCCTGCTGACAGACCCCACGAAGAGGAGATTTGGGTCATATCTGATGTGTTGTATTCAAGTCTAGCCGACCCCCCTCCATGAGGGTCTCCATACATTGAAGTCTGTTCCTAGAAAAAGAGTAGGTTGTGGCTAGGCTGGAATTCTTGGTGATGCATGGAGGGGTTGAAAGATGCAAGAGTGTCTAGAGAAGTCGGTTATCGGCACGGGAGATTGATCTGTGAATTTGCAGAAGGTCCCGCCGTGAAAGACTCCACGGGCTCCTCCGCTGTGGCTGCAGGGATCGCCCCAAAGCCTGCTGGCAGTAGCTGCAGAGAGAAGGCAGATTTCAGCTCAATAAAAAACTTTCTTACGGTAAGAGCGATCCAGAAATGGAATGGGATAGTAGTGAGCTCTCCGTTATCGGAGGAGTTCAAGCAGTGGCTCGTCAGGAAAGCTGTGTAACAGCTCCAAACAGCAAAGGGATACTTAGGCTCTTTGATGTGTAGCTGAGTTTCACCCACGAGAGTCTCTGGTTTGGTGACGACTCCGTGGTGTTTTTTGAACGGGTGGCTTGATGACAGCGGCATATAAGGTGATTGTGTGGCTTCAGTGACCCACCGCCATGTCTAGCCAGAGTGTCCTCCCTCCTTGCACACTCTCCGTGGGAGCGAGCGCTGGGTCCCAACTGCACCTGTCTGCTTGCCCGGCTGCAGCCCAGACAAATGTTCCTGGCCACCCCGAAGGGATGCTTGGGCTGACTTTCCACAGCTGGGGACACAGTCTCGCACTTTCCCAATGTTGCAATTACGGAAGGGGATCTGTTCTCTCTTGTCTCCCCCCGCCCCCCCCCCCCAACCAAGTGCACCAGACTGACGGGACAGAAGCCGGAGTGAGAAAAAGCGCTGGAATCAAACCCCATTGGATTTGTGTGTGGGTGGGTGCAGGGCAAGGAGGAGGCCCCCAGCCCCCGCAGCCTCCCCCCTCTCCCCCTCCCCACCCCGGGGGCGGTCGCACAGGGATCCTCTTCCCGGGATAATAGGAGTGAATCAAAGCATCAAGAGCCCCTGGTGGCGGGCGCGCCGTGCGTGGTTACTGACAGGCACCAGCTGCCGCGCAGCCCGGACGCGCTATGTGGCCGCTCCGAGCGACAGGCGGATTCCAGACTAATCCCGGAGGGCTGGCCCAGCCCGAGCTGCCCGGGCTGCGAGGAAGCGATGACCACTCCTGTTAGCCCAAGTTGAAGGCAGCCAGGCTGCGCTCCGGAGCCCGGGAGGCCGTGCTTTTCGGAAAAGGCAAGAGAGAGAGCGAGCGAGCGAGCGAGAGCGAGCGAGAGCGAGCGAGAGAGGAACATGAACTGAAGAGTAAACATGTATGGGAATTATTCTCACTTCATGAAGTTTCCCACAGGCTTTGGCGGTGAGTGCTGCACTTGGGCCCCGGGGTTGGGGGTGGGGGCCTGGCTGGACAGAGCCCCCGGGGGATCCGGCAATGTGGACAAGGCAGGGTGGTGCGTTAGCAGGAGGGCATGGATGTAGATAAGCGAGCGGTGGTGTTTCCCCTGTGAGTGTGTCTGGGCTGTGCAGGAGGGAGGGAGGGAGAGGGGATGGTCAGAGGTGAGGGTCTGTGCAGATCTGCATGAGGGAGCAGAAGGGAGGGCGTGCAAACATTCTAAGGAGCCTTCAAACCCACCTGCTTGAGAATCTGTCTGAGACCCAGACGGAATAAGAGCATTGTTCGAAGCCAGTGTGTTTGTGTGAGTGTGAAAAGTGCAAGAGTCAAAGGGAATTACCATGATGTACCTGTTATCCAACTGGTCATGAGAAAAACGTGAGCGAGGCTTCGCCAGTCGGTTGAGGGTCCCTGGGATACTTCGTAAGGAGGGCGTGCTTGTTTTATCTAAAAGCAAATCTCCCTATAATTGGATTTTTGCAAAGAAAACGTAGCACTTTCATTTGCCAGGGTGTTTTCCTTCCTCTGCGGTCTTCCCTTTTGATTTGCTAATAGCCTCGCGCCCCCTCCCTGAAGCTGCTCCCAGTGCCGTCGCCAGGGTCCGGCTGTCACTTGTACTCTGAGGGTGGGATCTGGGGGCGGGGGTCTGGGCTCTTGGAACTGGGAGACTGGAGATCCGAGTTGCCAGCCAGCCAGGGCAGCCCTGGGGCACCCTCCACAGGGGCTGCCTCAATGGGAGACCTGGGGCTCCGTCCATTCAGCGGCAGAAACTGCCCAGCCGCCCAGCTTTGAATAAACGGAACCAACAGCTGACCAGCTGGCCTCTCACTTGTCAGCCGGTGGCACGTAGCTTGTGTTCTCGGGAGCCGAAGAGAAGCTTTCGCCCTGCGGATGCTGGCAGACAGGACAAAGCAGAAATTCTTGTTAGGTCTTGAGAACCGCCAAGTCCCTGCTCTCCCAACCGACCCCCTGCGTGGACAGATCAGCAATTCATCTGAGGGCTAGGGAGTAAAGCTTGCCCACTTCGCCGGGCAGAAGCCTCTGTGAGGCGTGGAGGGGCCTTGCAAGGTGGATGTGGGTCCCTGCCCAGGAGGCGCGGGGCCAGGGGGCTTGCTTGGTCATTTAGGGCGCACTGGGTAGTTTTGTGAGCCAAGCATGGTGTTAGGTTCTGGGAAGACAGATGGGAAGGAGACAAGGTAGGCTTATTACACAGACGCGTTGTAATATTTCTTGCTGTGTGTTCTCTCGGAAGCAGGAGGAGGCTGTTGCTGGGACACACCGGGTGGGGGGCCACGGAGATGTTCCTGGAAGAGGTGATGGTTAAATTACTGGGGTCAATCTTGTGATCTGACCCAGTTAGAGTGGTGGCCAAGGCTGTGACCGGGACATCTGATCTCCGGTTTATAGTTGGGTCCTGGGTGTGAAAAGCCTTCTCAGCTCCCATCTTGGTCCCATTCACAGCTGAGAAACACTTTTTCCTTTTCCTTCTGAATTCAGTTGGCTGAGGACCGTGCTTGTCCGTGCGATTCTTGGCGCCCTCCACCCCCCCGCCCCCCGCCCCCACCAAGGTCTGTGAGGTCATGGCTTCATGAAAGCCATGGAAACCCCTGAGACAGTGGGAGCGAATGACAGGGTGGAAGGTGGAAAGGTCTAGGGAGGAAGCTGAGAGAAAGGCTGGATAAAGAGGGTCTATCCCCAAATTCAGCGGGGGCTGCCTGCTGGAATCTTGGAATGTTAGCCTTCCTAAGGAACCTCGGAAGAGCTTCTGAGACCTCTCATTTTACAAGGTGGAAACTGAGGTCTCCAGAAGGCAAGGACTCATCTAAGGTTATGTGGGGTTGAGTGGGAGAGAAAAGCCCCCGACTCAAACTTACCCTAATACTCCCTCAATCTAAAAAAAGCACGAGAGAGAGAGAGATATTGAGAGCTGTACTTGGTTCATTTACTAGCTGTGTGACATTCCACAGGATATTGAACCTCTCTGAGCCTCAGTGCCTTCACCTCTAAAATGGAGTTGATCAGCCCAGCATCGAAGTATTGTTTGGAGAATTAAATGTGCTAACACTCGGCAAAGCAGCCCTATAGTGTTGTCCATATATTGGGTACTTAATAAAAGTTAATATTTTCACCCCCTCCATTTTGCTCGAGGTAGTAACAGGCAAATTCATGTAAAAATCCAACATTCCTGTAGAATAATGAATTAGGAATCTGGGGAAGTAAAATTCAAACCACAAGGACCCACACACTTTGTGGGTCCAGATTTCAGCATGGTGGAAACTCCAGTATTGAGCGTCGTAAGTAGGGTTCAGACGAAAGGAAGCGAGCACAGCCAGGGAGGCTGATAGGACCCAGGAACAGAGCCAAGAGGGCAATGAGGTTGTTGAACTGTCTCCCTCTGATGCGACTTTTCCTTGTTCCTGACGGAGGAAGAGAGTGATTTTGTTTAGTTCTGTTGATGTTTTCCATTTGGTTTGCACGCGCCCGTGGAGAGGCTGCTGAGATGTTGAGCGGAAGCTCAGCCCCCGCTATGGGGAGGTCTGTCTGAGAACTTGCCTGTGGTGAGGGAGAAACACCCCCCCCCTCCTCGCAGGAACGGGGGAAACTGAGGACTGCGGTGGCTGTCACCTGCACCCTCAACACGGAGAGCCACCCTGGACACATGCAATGATTTGGCACACGCCCCCCTCCTCCCCTGCCTTTTTATATATTAACAAATGGAACTACAAGCAGCTCCTGCGATTTGCATGAGGCTCTCTGGGGACCCAGAGTCACCCTTGGGAAATAACACAAGGGTTTGCGTCTGAGGCTGTGCTTACCAGATGTGAGATCCTCAGCCCCTCAGTGAACAAGGGACTGGCCAAGCTGCCAAAGGGTGGCGACTCCCTGGGCAGCAGTGACCTCCCAGAGGTGCCCAATCTCCATGCTCTTGGCCCTGCCCTGTGATGAGGAGAGAACCCTTCTCTCCTTCTCTGCCAAGTCCTGGCTTTTCCAGCTGCTCAGGAAGAGATTTGTTTGGATGAGACAGTCGCTACCTCGAAGAAGACGGCAAGACAAAGCCTGTAATTCCCCCACCGCTTGTGCGGTAATCCTCAGGGCGACAAGTTGATCAGGAGATGGGACGTGGGGAGGGGACTCGCAGTTCAGTCACCAGGCACGCTGGCCGCGGCACTCGTGAAGGGCCAGCTACCCTCATAAGCATGTGCACTCTCAGCTCGTTCAGTCCTCAGGACAACCTTCTGAGTAGCCACCGTGATTATCACACTCCTGTTACAGACGAGGAAACTGAGGCATTGCACAGTGAAGTAACTTGCTGAAGGTCTCGTAGCTAGAAAATAGCCCTGCTGAGGATTTAACGTTTATTTATTTTTGAGAGATAGAGAGCGAGTGAGGAAGGGGCAGAGAGAGAAAGAGAGACAGACAGACAGAATCTGAAGCAGGCTATAGGCTCTGAGCTGTCAGCACAGAGCTGGCGACGGGGCTCGAACTCGGGAATGGTGAGATCATGACCTGAGCCGAAGTCGGACGCTTAACCGATCGATCAGGGGACCTCTGGAGCATAATTGGTGCTTCTCCTGGAGGCCTGCTGATTTGCAAGAGCCCTGCCCAGCTGACCTTGAGCATTTGTGTAGAACACTGCTTCTTACCCAAGAATAGCCATGGTGGGGTGGTTTGGACATACGGGTACACATGAGCACATGTGTATGAGTGGGGGGAACAATACAATGTGTGTGGATGTGGGAGAAGGGTGTGTGTGTGTGTGTGTGTGTGTGTGTGTGTGTGTACAGATGTGTGCCCCGGAACATCATTTTCCCCTCCGCAAATGTGTGGGTGGCTATTGGGGACCCTACCATGGACATAAGTGGTTTGGGTTTATGTAGGAAGAAGTGACTGTTTATGAGACTTAGGAAGGAACATATTTAGTGTAAACTGTTTCTGAAACATTTACAATCTTACCAGGAGATAGAGAGCTGAATAGCAACTGGGGAAAGAAATCGTGCAAAGAGTTATCTAAATCCTCCACCTCTTCCTTCCCCTCATTATGTAGCTTCTGGAGCCACGGAGAACTTCGCCACCACAACTGGGTGGCTGGGTTGTCGCATGCTCCCAGAGGAAGCAGGCCTTTTCCCTGCTTATTTGAAAGAAGACTCAGAGGCGCAGGGAGTGCAGAAGTTTATTTTCTAACGGGCCTGGGTTTGGGCGGCTTTCAGGAGGCTGCCCCGGGTCCTGGCTCAGTGATCTTCAGAAAAGAGTAAGAGTAATAGCTCATATTTATTAGGCACCTACTGTGTGCCAGACCCTCTTCCCCGGATATGGCAAACATCATCTCGTTCAATATTCTCAAGGATCCCTGGAGGTCAGGCACTATTATTATTACCATCCCCATTTTACGGATGGGAATGTAGAGCCTCGGGGAGGTTCAGTAAACTGCTCAAGGTCACCCGGCTGGTAAGGGGCGGACCCAGGATCCAAATCCAGGCAGGTGCAAAGGCTGCTAGGGTTAAGCCCCGTGTTGTGCGTGCTGCTTGCTGGGGGTGTAGGAGGGGGAGGGCGACGAGGGGGTGGGGTGGGGCGATGGGAGTCCCATACCTGCCACCAATGGGCAAATTATATATTAGAACAACAACTGCCATATTCAGGTTTTAATTTAATTTTTATTTTTTTTAATGTTGATTTATTTTTTGAGAGAGAGAGACAGAGTGTGATTGGGGGAATGGCAGAGAGAGGGAGGCACAGAATTGGAAGCAGGCTCCAGGCTCTGAGTTGTCAGCACAGAACTTAATGTGGGCTCAAACCCATGAGCCGTGAGATCATGAGCCGAGCTGAAATCAGACAAAATTAACCGACTGAGCCCCCTAGGCTCCCCTGTTCTTACTCTGTGCTCTTCGCAACTTTCTTAGGGATCACAGTGCATTTCCCGGACCCTGCACAGTTGCAGCAGTGAATAAAATGACGGGGTGGGGGCAGGG